TTTTTTCTTCAGAGATTTATATATGTCATCCTATTGCCTTCTCACCTGCATGGTTTCTGCTGAGTAGTCTGAGCTTATTCGTATTGACTCTCCTTTGTAGATGACGTTCCGTTTATCCCTAGCCGCTCTTAAAATTCTTTCTTTATCTTTGGTTTTGGCAAGTTTGATTATATTGTGTCTTACTGACTTTCTTTTGGGATCTACCTTATGTGGGGTTCGATGACCATCTTGGATAGGTATCTTGTCATCTTTCACGATATCAGGGAAGTTTTCTGCCATCAAATCTTCAACAGTTCTCTCTGTAATCCTCCCATTTTGGCACTCCAATCACTCGTAGATTATTCCTCTTGATAGAGTCCCACATAATTCTTAGGGTTTCTTCATTTTTTAAAATTCTTTTATCTAATTTTTCCTCAAATAAGTTTGTGTCAAGTGCTTTACCTTCAGTCTCACTAATTCTGACTTTCATTGCCTCAGTCCTGCTCCTGTGACTTTGTTGAGTTGTCTAATTCTGAAATTTTATTGTTAATCTTCTGGATTTCTGATTGCTGTTAAATTTGTCATTATTCTGTTCTCTAATCTTCTTAAGTTTCTCTATTGCTTGGTCTGTGTTTTGCCTCATTTCCTTCCTGATGTCTTGAAGAGTTCTGTATATTAATCTTTTTTATTCTGCCTCCAGTAATTCCAAGAAATTCTCTTCCTCTGGAAAATTTGATTCTTTGTTTTTGGAGCTTGCTGAAGCCATCATGATCTGCCTTTTTATATGATTTGGTATTGACTGTAGTCTCCGAGCCATCAGTAAGTTATTATATTTATTTATTTTATGTTTGCTTACTGTGTCGTAGCTTTTTTTTTTTTTTTTGATACGCCCTAATAGGCTGCTTGAGTGAGCCGGTCACCAGCACGCCTGAAGCTCCAACATCCTGCCACCAGGTGGCCAGACCTGCCACTAAGTATGTGAGCCCGGGAGTCCACCCCTCGTCCTGTGTGGATTCAGTTCAGGTTTCCAGGTAGTTGGCCACCAAGTGTGTGGTGCAGGCTCTCACCTACAGTCCTAGAGAGGCTTGAGTGATTGGTGTAGGCACAGGTGTCCGGCTGCAGCAGGGGGTCACAAGCTGAACAAGGCAGGCTGCCGACAGCCCCCCCGATGTGTCCAGGAGGAAGGTGTGTCCCTGTTCCCTAGAGCGCATAGGTGGGTTGGTTTTGCAGCCAAACTGTGAGCACCCAATACTGTTGACTGTAAGTACTGGAGGGTACTATTTGTTCTTGGGCCCCTGTCGCAGGTGACTAGGTGGTGTGGGTGGAGCCACCAGTCCCCAAGCTCCTGATGTGGGTAGGTGAAGACCCTCCGTAATGGGAAGAGCAGTGTCAGATGTCACAAACTTGCCACTTCACAGCTGAAACAGTTGAAGTTAGACAGCAGGTATATACCCTGTTTTAATGTGGTAGAGAGGCCCTACGCTGTTCAGATGGGCCAACACTAAGTCTCTGTAGGGGAAAAAGCACTCAAAGTCCGTGGTCTCCTTATGCCTGTACGTAGGCAGAGGAGCTGTGCCTACCCTGAGTTCCTGGCTTAGGGGAGCCAGCTGATTATTTTTTTCCCCTGTTTGTTAATTTGTTCTCTCTCCAATGCTGGGAGAATGGCTCAGGGCGCGTGAGGGGTCCTATTTCCATCCCAGGGGACTCAGCAGTTGCTGAAGCCGTCCCAGACCCAGTGCAAAGCAGGGAGCAGGGAGGTAAATGGGAGAGAGGTTTTTCCCAAAGGGGGTTGTTTTTGATTCGCACAGTAGGCCAGACGCAAGTACTTATCTCTTGCTGATCAGGGGCTACTTCTCACTGGTTCTGGATGGCTGAGTAGACTCTCTACCCCTGGGTCTCACCTCGTGTGGAAAACGCCTCCCGAGTGCTGCTGCTTCCCTGCCTCACGGCTCACCCCTGAGCTGATCCAGGCTGAAGGGCTCCAGCTCCCGCCGGGTGAGGTCTGGCAACTCCTTGCTGCTTCTGAACCATCTCTCCCTCTGCCTGCCACTCAGTCCGATTGCTCAACTTTACCTTTTATGTTCAGGGCTCCTAGATTGTCATATATTATCTATTCACTTGGTTTTTCAGGTCTTTGTTGTAAGAAGGACCACCAGAAGCATCTGACTACTCCACCATCTTGGCCCTGCCTTTCCCCCAATGGTTTTAAAGACCCCAGACCCCCAATGTGAATGAGCAGCAGGGCTCTAGGATGCATCCCAATCCCTGCAGTGCCTCCTCCTCCTTTGCCTGGTTTCATTCACCTGCCCAGCAGCCATGCAGCCATTCACTCCTGGTTTAGGGCAGCGCCTGTCGTGGCTCATTTGCTCCTGGCAGGGGCGCCGACTGGGTCTGGGCACGCATGGGCTCCTGGCTCCTGGTGGCAGCGGTGGCTGCACGTGATTAGGAAGTGGCCACACCAACAGAGTGGTAGCATCCAGGACCACCACCACCACCACCTTCGCTCCCGGCACTCACAAACCCATTCCCTGCCTGGTCCCAGTGGCCACCTCTCTGCGCCCATGTGTGCCCTCTGCCCTGCACCTGGACATGCACAAAGTCCCAACCAGGCCCACAGCTGCTCATCTGGCAGGGCTAGCCTCCTGTATCCAGTGGTTACACCTTTGTCCAGCAGGGCAGGCTCTGGCAGTGGCTGCTGGGCCCCGGGCTGCTCCTGTTCCTCAGGTGGGCAGAGGAATGGGCGGGGCTGGGCATGTAACTTGGATACTGCCTGTATATAATATGGTGTTCATACAACGTCTAAATCACTTAACATCTGTCCTATTTCGCAGAGTATATCATGGGTGTAAATAATGCATGACTGTATTTTAAATTTGTTTAACCTTCTACGAGATACAAAGCTGATATAAATACCAGTATACACAGTTGCTTTTTTAATATTATTTTCTTAGAATAAGTTTAAAGTGCAATTACTAGATTAAAGGAAAGGAGGCATGATTAGTTTCATAATTTCTTACATATTTTAAAATTACCCTCCATTAGTCGTCAGAGAAATGCAAATCAAAACCACAGTGAGTTACCACTTCACACCACTAGAATGGCTATAGTCAGAAAGATGAACAATAACAGGTATTGGTGAGGATGTGGAGAAATTGGAACCCTTGTATATTGCTAGTAAAAATGTAAAGTGTTGCAGCTGCTTTGAAAAAGTGTTTTCAAAGTGGTGCAGCTGCTTTGAAAAGTTCCTCAAAAAGTTGAACATAGAGTTACCATGTGACCCAGCAATTCCACTCTTAGGTATAGAACCAACAGAAATTACAACGTATGTCCACACACAAACCAGATTATTCATAATTAACAAAAAGTAGAAACAACCTATGGACGTAAACACCCATGAATAAACAAATAAAATGTCCATAAAATATGCATATGCCTATAAAAAGGAATGAAGTACTGATAACATGCTACAGTGTGGGTGAACCTTGAAAATATTATGCTAAGTGAAAGAAGCCAGTGATAAAAGATCACATAGTATATGATTCCATTTATATGAAATGTCCAGAATAGGCAAATTTCTAGAGACAGACAGAAAGTAGATTAATGGTTGTCAGGGACTGAGGGGAGGAGGGGAGGAATGAGTGACTGCTAGTGGGGCTTCCTTTAAGGGGGACAGAATGTTCTAGAATTAAACTGTGATGATGGTTGTACAACTGTGAATATACCAAAACACTTTGAGTTGTATACTTTAAATGGGTGAATTGAATGGTATGTGAATTATATCTCAAAACTATTTAAAAAAGATTATCTTCCAGAAAAGTATTCTTTTCTGTCATCATCAGCAGTATTTTGTGCCCCCGACACGCACAACCTTTGAGTTTATTGTTTTTGTTAAATTTCTTTAGTTATAAGCTCCTCCAGTAGAACATACACCCCATGAAGGCAGGGATTTTTGCCTGTTTTTGTTCACTGCTGTTTCCCCAGTGCCTAGAACCCTGGCACATAATAGCTATTCAGTAAAACTTGTTGAATGAATGAATTTTGATATTTTTATTTACAAAGTAGACATTTATAACTAAAAATTAAACCCTTTAGTGTCTTAATTTCATTATATGTATGAACTAATTGTTCTTTCTAGCCTCAAATTCTTTTTGGAAAGAGGTAGCGTATAATTAAATGAATTGAATTGAATGTACATCCTCTGGTGAGTGATCTGGTTCAAGATCTTTGACTTTGTGCTTTTACTTTCTTTGGAAATTTAGTTTGTAAATGTTTGAGTATGCAAATTCTCTTTTTAACCGATGTCCATGTAATAATAGTTGTACTTTTTGTATCAGTCGATGGGGAAACAACAGTGACAAAAAGCCTTTTATGTTTTATTAATCACTACAGTATTTTCAAAAATTTGTGAAATAGAGGTATATAATATGTGGGACATATACTTATTTAGTCTATAGTCTGTGCATGGAGGCGGTATGATTCATGGGCCCATGGCAGTAATTTTGAAAGCCACCAGGAGTTTGGGGCCAATTAGTTGAGAACTACTTAATTATAGTATCAGAACTGAGGGAGGACAACTGGGATGTAAAGAATAGCTGGCATAGAAGATTATACCCTAATTATGTATTTAAAAATTCAGGTCCTAAAGCTATCAATTTTTTTAAAGACTAGAGAATATTTGAAAAATCAAGTTTAGAAGTACTTTTTAAAATTTACTTATTGGACATTAATTGTTTTAGCAAAAAATCAGAAGTGAACTAAATGTCTCATAATGGTTAATTAAGCTATGGTGTATTTATTTTGTGAAACTTTAGGCAACAATTGAATATTATAATTAGGAATTCTAATTCTTATTGTTTGACAACTTTAAAAAACAACATACCATCATGTATTCCTATGTATTTTAACAAAAGTTTTTATGTATGACCCTTGAACTAAAAATGGTTTTTACCTTTTTCAAGAGTTGTTTAAAAAAAAAAAAAGAAGAAAAAGATGTTGCAGAGGCCTTATGTTGCCCTCAAAGCCCAAAATAGTTACTGTCTGTCCCTTTATAGAAAAGTTTGTTGACCTCTAATTTAATTAATTTTATTTTCACAACATTCCAATAAGGTGAGTCCTGTTATTATCCCCACTTTAAGTTAAGTAACTTTTCCTTGATGGCATTCACTGTGTTTTACAACAGATTGTGGGCTCTTTCTACAAACTTGCTAACACTGTGTTTCTTTGCAGTGTAAAAAGTGGATAGTGGCTCACATGTCAAAAGATGGAACGGTCTCGATCTAGATCCCCCAGGTGGAAACAGAGGTGAGCACTTCTTAGCAGAGTAAGCTTGGATTTGTGATGTGCTGCAACTTTCAAATTCACCAGCACTGGTAAAAACCTATTTTAATAAGCTCATAGTACTTGTTGTTCATAGTAGGTGCTTTTTAGTAGTAGAGGTCATATTTCTAGATTCTAGAAGCTGACACCTTTGTTTAATTACAGCTTATGGCTAGAACTAATCCATGATAAAAAGATACGTGATAGCCATAGCAAAGGAGAGTGAGAAATATCTTTGAGAGTAATAAATTTGTTTTGTATTAGTGAGTGGTTTAGAACTCTTCAGTATGTGTTTTATTTTACTTTTTTCATAATATCTTTGAAGAACTTGGGAGTTAGGGGGTTTCCTATTATTCATGGCAGAATAATAGAATTTTGAATAACTCAATTGTAGCTCAACGTGCCTCTCTCCTCTTGTTGGTAGTATAAATAATGTGTGTAATTAGACTGGAATAATTCAACTAGTATTTATTGTATTACCTGCTAAAGGCAGGTCCTGAGGATACAAAGGCAAATATGACATCTTATGTGGCCACAGCAAGCACACAGACTGGCTGGGGAGATTGACATCATAGCCAACTATAATACAGTGTGAAAAATGCTGTGCTGGTGATTGGGACAAAGTATTCTGCATCCCCAGGGAGGGTATAATTAATTCTGCTTTTGTGGAGGAGAAAGGAGGATATTAAGAAAGTCACAAAGAAGAGATGAGAGTTTAGCTGGGCATTTAAGGATGGGTAGAATTTCTTTTTTTTTTTATTATTGTACTTTAAATGAAGGTTTACAGAACAAACTCATTTCTCATTAAACAGTACGCATATTGTTTTACAACATTGGTTACCAACCCCATGACGTGTCAACACTCTCCCTTCTCGACCTTGCGTTCCCTATTACCAGCTTTCTTGTCCCCTCCTGCCTTCTAGTCCTTGCCTCTGGGCTGGTGCGCCCCTTTAGACTCGTTTTGTTTTATGGGCCTGTCTAATCTCTGGCTGAAGGGTGAACCTCAGGAGTACTTCATTACTGAACTAAAAGCGTGTCCGAGGGCCATGCTCTCGGGATTTCTCCAGTCTCTGGAAGGCCAGTAAGCCTGGTCTTTTTTAGTGAGTGAGAATTTTGTTCTACATTTTTCTCCAGCTCTGTCCAGGACCCTCTATTGTGATCTCTGTCGGAGCAGTCAGAGGTGGTAGCCAGGCACCATCTAGTTGTACTGGACTCAGTCTGGTGGTGGCCATGGTAGATGTGGTTCATTAGTCCTTTGGACTATAATCTTTCCCTTGTATCTTTAGTTTTCTTGCTCACAGGCTTTTAAGATTGCAGATGCTACTCACCAAAGTAGAATGTAGAACATTTTCTTTTAAGCTATGTTATGCCAGTTGAGTTAGATGTTCCCCGAGACCATGGTCCCCACAGCCCTCAGCCCAGTAATTAGGATGGGTAGAATTTCAAAAGGCGGAAAGAGTAGAGACAAGTATTCCAGGAGTAGAGCTGTGAAAGTTACCAGTATATTCTCATTCTTTAGAAAGGACCATAATTACATACACAAAAGGCAGACCAGGAGTTTTCATGTTAATGTGACTTGGCCATTTTGCTGGTTCGTTTTGATTATTAGATGACCAATTGATCATTTCTTTAACAGTTTTCATTTTGTAGTTCACAAGACCAGATTATAATGAAGAGTAGCTTTAGAAAGAAGAGAGAGTGTAAAGAAGCAGATGGTTTTAACATGGAGGGGATCACAGAGGTCATTTTGTGTCACTCTTTTGTAGTAGGCCTTGGTGAGGGGGCACCATAGACCCTGCCAAGCTTAGTGCCTGATTTCTGGACTCCCTAGGACTCTGTCGGGAACTGTGAAGGGACAGTTGTTTTACCCTATTTGCAGGCTAACACATTAGCCTGCCACACACACTCCTGACTTGGAAGCAAAGGCCTTTATTACTCATGGCACAGCAGGCAACGTGAGTTTTGTGTTCATGTTGGTTCCCCTCACCCCTGAGTCCTCCAAGGGTGCTGCAGGGCGCTGGCTGGGTGGATGCTGCAAAGCAGTGGATTTAGGACATAGCTGAGGAACCTATGCTTAGGAAACCCTCAATCAGGAGTAAACAAACCCGCTCAACCTTTGTTCCGAAGGGAGACATTATCTTATTATCCTGGACAGCAAACAAATTGGCCCTCTGCCTCTGAAGGAGATACTATCTTTATCTTCCAAGGCTATTTGCCTTGGAGCAAAAGATGTCAGTGCCTCAAGATACCCGTACAGAAGTCTCCCAATAAACTTTGTGGGTGTCTTTTGCCCTTTTAGGAGAATTCAAAATGATAGTAACCATTCCAGCAACCTTCTTCAGAAGAAAGGGACTTTTTAAAATAAGATGTAATGAAACATATGATATGAAATATAATATCAAAGCACTATTTAATGTGAAGCAAGGATTAAAGTAAGATACTGGGCATTTTGTTCAGTCTGGAAGCCCTCTGCCTGTTTCTGCCAGCTTTTCTCCTTATCAGTGAAAGAGATAAAATCTTCAGGGAAGCCATCAGAGGCTCCAGTTGCCACTTTTTGGGATGAGGTACAGCCGCTGGATGACAGAGTTCTATTTCAGCTTGGGTGATTCCAAAGGAAGATATTGCCAAGTCCAGCGTGTAAGTCCCAGTGTGTACATGAAGAAGATGACTCTGCCTCCTTTCTTGGGAGGACACAGACTTGCCACCAAAAGGAATTTTACTCTTGGATGCTCCAACTAAAGATGGCAATTTCTGAAGAGGGTTGATGATAAAAGCTGCAAGGGTAGCTTGCTTATTGACTAGGAGACATTAAACACTCAGAAGATGGGGAAATTAGGGAGAGAGGACAGGTCAGATGAGGGGAAGGGTCCCAGGTGCAAAATGGAACTTCATTGTGTTCCAGATGGTTTCACTCCTTTCTCTTATCTTTAATTTGGACAACCCAGACTGGTTTCCCTGGATATCTTCCTCCTTTGTAGAACTGAAAGACTCAATGTTGGCAGTGCTGAGGTATTGAGGAAAGTAGTTATAGTAGAATCTGTTGTCCCTGAAGATCATTATAGCTGCATTAAAGCACATATATACCAAAGTTACAAGCTCTGTTTGGACAGCACATCTTTTGTTTTAGATGTAAGTGAATAGGTCTGAGAAAGAGAAGCAACTTATCTGTATTACTACTGTTAAGCAATCAGCTGGTAATTGAAAGGTTGGCAGTTTGAGTCTACCCAGGGGGACCTCGGAAGAAAGGCCTGATGGTCTGCTTCCAATAAATCAGCCATTGAAAACCCTGTGGAGCATAGTTCTACTCTGACACACATGGGCTTGCCATGAGTTGGAATTGACTCAAAGGCAGCTGTTTTTGTTTTTGTTTTTTTAATGGAGAAAGTAAGCATGAAATTCAGGTTTTATGCACCACTCCCACACCTGCCGTTAAGTATATGTTTTTTGTCCCTTGATACAACCTTAGTAAAGAGAATAGACTATCAATTAGAGAAACTATGGGGTCAGTCTTGGGTCTGAGTTTAGATTTATTGTAGCATCATAAAATCTTAGAATCTAATTTCAGAGATCATGTTCCATTTGCCAGAGACTCTCTTACACATTTATTTGTTTCAGTCTAGCCCTTCTTCTGCTTGTTTCTTACCTGGCCATTGAACCTGATGTAAGCTTTTGCTGACTGACCCTTTGAAGTCATTGCATCTCCTTTTGCCAGAAGTTTGCTGTCAGCAGTCTTCCAGCATGGATCCTCCTGTATACCTAAGCTGGTCCTCCTCCAGTAGGACTGGTGTGCTCAACTCATTTTTTTAAATTGTGGTAAAAATACATAGAAGCAAAACATTTGCCATTTCGACATTTTTTACATGTACAGTTCAGTGACATTAATTATTTTCATCATGTTGTGTAACTATCACCACTGTTTCCGGCTTTTTCCATCACCCTTAACAGAAACTCTGCCCCCTAAGGATTGACCTCTCCTTCCCCCCTCTCTCCAGCCTCTGGTAACCATAATAATAAACTTTGGTCCCTAGACCTTTGCTATTCTAGATATTTCATGTAAGTGGGATCATACAATATTTGTCTTTTTGTGACTGACTTATTTTATTTCACTCAGCATAATGTTTTCAAGGTTCTTCCATGTCATAGTATGTACCGGGACTTCATTTCTCTTTAAGGCTGAGTAGTATTCCATTCTATGTATATACCCCATTTTATTTATCCATTCATCTATTGATGAACATTTAGGTTGTTTCCACCTTTTGGCTGTCGTGAATAATGCTGCAATGAGCATTGGTGTACTGGTTGAATCCCTGCTTTCATTTATTTTGGGTATATACTCAGGAGTGGAGTTGCTGGGTCGTGTGGTAATTCTATGTTTAACTTTCTGAGGAACCGCCAAACTTTTCCACGGGGGCTGCACCATTTTACAATCCCACCAGCAGCGAATGAGGGTTCCAGTTTTCTGCACATCTTCACCAACACTTGTTTTCCATTTTTCTGATCATAGCCCTCCTAGTGTGAGTGAAGTGCTATCTCATTGTGGTTTTGGTTTGCATTTCCTTAATGACTAATGATATTGGGCATTTTTTCATGTGCTTGTTGGCCATTTGTATATCTTCTTTGGTGAAATTTTTGTTCAAGTCCTTTGCTCATTTTTTGATTGGGTTGTTTATCTTTTTGTTACTAAGTTGTAGGAGTTCTTTATATATTCTGTAAATTAAACTTTTATCTATTATTCCTCCAAATTTTCTCCCAGTCTGTAGGTTGTCTCTTCACTTTGTCGATAAAGTCCTTTGATGCTCAAAAGTTTTTAATTTTGATTAAGTCCAATTTGTCTATTTTGTCTTTTGTTACTTATGCTTTTGGTATAGTATGTAAGAATCCACCATCAAAAACTAGATCCCGAAGCATTGCTTCTGTGTGTTCTTCTGAGGGAGCCCTGGTGGCGCAGTGGTTAAGAGTTCAGCTGCTGACCAAAAGGTTGGCAGTTCGAATCCACCAGCTGCTCCTTGGGAACCCTATGGGACAGCTCTGCTCTGTCCTGTAGGGTCGCTATGAGTCAGAATCGACTCGATGGCAGTGGGTTACGGATTCTCCTAAGAGTTTTATGGTTTTAGTTCTTACATGTAGGTCCTTGATCTATTTTGAGTTAATGTTTGTATATGGTGTGAGGTATGGGGCAAGCATCATTCTTTTGCATGTGGAAATCCAGTTATCCAAGCACCACTTATTAAAGAGAGTATTCTTTCCCCATTGAATGGACTTAGCACCCTTGTTGAAAATCAATTGACCATAGATGTATGGGTTCAACTTATTTTGATATACACATGGAAAACATTGGTACAGATGGAAAGAGTGTGGTTGTTGAATTGGGCAGTACCATAATCAAACCTCCAGTGTATAATTCAGAATGCAGTTATAGCACATTGATTAATTTGAGTAGATGAATCAGCACAACTCTAGGAAAAGTTAAGTATTTTAGGTAGGTCATATAAAGACACACTTAGTATCATCTTTAAATGGACTAAACTTTTCTGTATTTGTTTACATAGGTCTTTATCACCAGTACCTAGAAATTCTGACCACTACAAGCAAAGACAATTTTATGGGCAGTATGGCTATGAATATAGGAAGGATCCCAAAAGACCCGTCACTTGGAGAATGGACAATGAGAAATATGGACAGAGTAAACCAAGAATTCATTCTCGTGAAAATATATATTGCCGGTCTTATGACTATAGATCACCTTCCCCAAACATAAGAAGAAACTCTTCAGAAAATTCTTATAGGCTCCACCAAGTATATTCACCAGGAAGAGAGAATGTTAACAGAAGATCTCAGTATATGCCGAAATACTCAGAAGGTATACCGTACAATGAGCATGATGAGAGGAATTGTTATCCCCAGAAAGTGCAAGGAAGATATTTTCCTGATGACTACAGGGTTAGAGGAAGTGGAAGAGGAGGGAAACCACCTCAGAGGCCAGTAGAAGATTCTTTTAGATTCGAAGAAAAGTGGCATGAAGATGAATTTAGGCACCAGTGGATACAAGAGGAAAAGTACCCTCCATTACCTAGAAGAGGCTCTGAAGACTTTGAGATGAGGAGCTCTTTTCAGAAGAGGTATAGGATAACATTTAACCTGGGTAATTTAGTATAAAGCCCCAAGTGAAAAAGTATGCTTACTTTGTGGTTGAAGATAATCAAAAAAACCCAGACCCGTTGCCTATAGGACAGAGTAGAACTGCCCCGTAGAGTTTCCAAGGAGCACCTGGTGGATTAGAACTGCTGACCTTTTGGTTAGCAGCTGTAGCACTTAACCACTACGCCACCAGGGTTTCCGTGGTTGAAGATAGTCACCTCGAAAAGCTTTTGTCTAAAAAGATAAAAAGCATTGTAATTTATAGTCTGCTGGTCTTAGTGAAGTGTTTATTTTTATAATAAATCATGTTGATGGCTAAAAAGCTTTTAAATTGATATTTTTCTCTTTAACTGCCTTGTACTTCTATGAATTGGCTTGAGGGATTATAGGTAAACTTGCTATTGCATTCTGCATTTAAAGCCATGCTGTCCCACATTCTGCACATATAAATTCTCACTTTCTTCTCTCTAGTGTAAGTATAAACTGCTTTTTGTCAACATAGGTATCCTGAGGATCGTGATTTCAGAAAATATCACTGCATATCAAAAAGACCTAAAGACATGGAGAGGTATGAAAACAGAGAGCCTGCTGGGCACCCAAAGTGGAAGCCCAAGCCTTCTCTTCCACCTTATCAAGAAAAGAAAGATCAGAGGAACTTCGGACCCCAAACTCATCGACATAATGAAAGGGAACACTCAGAGGCCAGTTCAGTAACCAAGATATCCTATGACTATCGCCACAAACATCGTAAGCCCTCAGATGAGGACCAGGACTTTACTGATGGAGGAACTCAGAGGTACTCTGAGGAAGAAGATAGAAAATACAGTTCTCAAAAAGGGTCTGTAGACAGAAAGCCATATTGTTTTAATGCTAGAAGAGGAAGAGGAACTAAAGATGGACTAGTCAGAGAACCTTTTAAACAAACTAAGAAAGACTGCATTGCCAGTACTCATTCAAATAAAAGTGATGTTGATTGGAGGCCCTCTAATGACAAATGGAAGGAAAAGATAAAGATAGAAGAGGATTTCAGAAAAGAGAGCAACCCTTCCAGTAGCCAACTTGATAAAAGTAAAAAACTTTCAGATGCAAAACCCTCATCTTTCAGTGGTAGGAAGAAACTACTTACAATCAAAGTAGATATGAAGAAATCAGTAGATACATTCAGGTATTATCTTAGTTTTTTCCTTATGATATTTATTAAATGTTTCTGTCACCTTTATTTGCAGCTTTGAAAACAGAATTAATAGTGTGTTTAGATTCCATTGAGGGGGAAGGATTGTCTGAATTTTTTCAAAAGAGCCCTGTAATGAGGGTGAATTCTGTGATTTGTAATGTGGGGTGATCTCATGTTGCTTATTTCCACATTGTATCTCAAGATGATTCTTGGGTGCAGGGAAGTCCACAGAGTTGTTCCTCTTCATGAATTCATATGTTTTTATGTTGCCAAATTTTCCTTATTCAGAGATAGGCTGGGTGGAGTTCAAGGAGAGCTATTCTTTGCTCAGTTTCTCAGAGATTATGCTCCCTGTTGCCTGAAATTCAGGGAATTTTTGAGCTAGAAGGGACTTTAGCAGGCCCTGATTTTATAGAGGAAGAAAGTGAGGCCCTGAGAGGTGAAGTGACTTGTCTAAGTCAGAGGAGCTTGAACTTAAATCCACGTATTCCCCTCGTGACTCAAGGAGGCTGGAGGCTTAACATTAACGTGGTGCTTGCTGCCATCTCAAAATGACGAGCTCAACTGACTAGATTCTCCTAGGTAGAGGAAATTAGACTGTGACCTAGGAAGATGCCTTTTTATAAGAAATTTGATTTAGCTCATAATGATTCTTTAAAAAAAAAAATAAGGTGTATTCTCTTAAAGCAGGCTCACATGCCTTATTCCATTATGAGAATTGCCTGTTTATAGATTCTGAGAATAATAAAACACTGCAGTTGGCTATGTTAGCTAAGTCAGTTAATTACCATAGCATACTAGATTTTGGTGCATTTATGTTCATAGTTGATTCATATCTGCATTTGAATCAAAAACAGGAGAAAACAAAATCCAAGGGGTAGGATGGGAGGGGGAGGTAGGTAAGCCCACAGTCCTTTTTTTTTTTTAAACAAAATATATTTTGTTCTGTAAAGTTAGACTTGGCAGTCCCTCTCCTCCATTTTTTCCTTACTTTCATTTTACTAGCAAAAAACTTCAGTATACATATGTATATATATGCACAGAAAGCATTTATAAGTATAATTACATTACAGAAAGTTGGAGAAATAGAGGGGAGAGGAATCACCCATAATCCCACTAATGTGAGACCATCTTAGAAAAATTCCTTTTGTTAATTTTCCCATATATTTATACATAATTATCATAATACCATGTTAATAGTTTTGTGTCTTTTTTCATGTAATATGTCTTAAATCACTTTTGTGCTATTTCTTGTTCTTAATTTTAAGAGCACAAAGACTGCTGTAAGCATCAAGTTTAAGGATATTACCTTAAGCCTTTTTTCTTTCCGACATTTATGAAAATGTTCAAACGTACAGAAAAGTTGAAAGAAGTGTACAGTGAACACCTACATAACCACTACCTAGAGTCTACAATAATACTTTATTCTACTTTCATAATCACATATATCTATCCATCTGTCATTCCATCTTATTTTTTCGGTGCATTTCACAGGAAGTTGCAGACATCCATACACTCCCCGTTAAATACTTAAGTATTTAATTTTTGTTAACAGTTCTTTTTTTCCTCTCTCTCTCTCTCTCTCTCTCTCTCTCTCTCTCTCTCTCTCTCTCTGTCTCTCTGTCTCTCTCTCTCTGTCTCTCTGTCTCTGTCTCTCTCTCTCTCTCTCTCTCTCTCTCTCTCTCTCTCTCTCGAGGTAAAATTTACATACAGTGAAATGCACAGAAATCTAAAACTTTTTATCTTTAAAATTATATAAAAGTAATGATACCCCATATTAATGAAATGTTTTATACTTAAAAGATAATTAATAAATTGGTTGTTGTAAAGAATGCTAGAAATACCAATTCTGAAGGGTTTATTTTCATAGACCTCATTAGTGGTACTAAAGACAGTTAATTTTATATTGAGAAATGGAAGTTTGACCTTTATCATGTGTCAATAATGAGCTTCCCAAAATGAAGGCCACTGCATCTTTTGTTTTGAATTTATAAACTACAATTTTGTAAAATCTCATGGCCTGTCAGTGAGGCCTAGCACAGAGGTAGGCACTCAGCAGTTGCACACTTCATATTTGGGGCAAATGCAGGACAGCTGTGAAGTAAAGAGCCTCCACTGTAAATCTGCTCTATTCAAAGACCTTAAGAATAAGTAACTGAACAAATATATGCACATTTTCAGTTTATGCTAAAGTATCATAGTCAGCAAAGTCTTTCTCTCTGATTGTAGTTGTGTATTGATGAGTTGTTTTCAGGAGTTTTGTGGGGCTGGATTTAATTATGCATGGACCAGTGAAGTATCCATACAACAAAGGTAGTTAATGCCTTAATAGAAATCTGTTCTCAACTATTAACACAAATTAGATTTTCCTCTGTTTGAAAAGATTAATCATAATTAGAGTGTAGAGAGAGGTGTTTGTTGGTTAAAATCAAGCGTTTATCCATGTTTTTGAAAGACTAAGATAGTTAATTTTGTGCATTTGTTTACCTTTTTAGCTTTGGTTGAGTATTGCTGTTTGTTCTTCCAGTTACCAGTGTGCTAAAAAAATAAGGTTATCACCTAGTGATTTTTCTAGATCCCAGTTTGTATCTAAAGCAACAATAGGTAGAAATTTGCTGGAATGTTCATTGCGTAGTTATACTTCTGTTAACAAAGACTGTATCTAGTGACCCACTTTGTCAGAAATTTCATTATCAGAGGTAGAAGTTAACATATAAGTCATAATTATATGTTTCAGAATATAAGTTGAGTCACAGTATGAAAATTTGTACTAAGGTCATTATGTATCCAGAACATAAACTATTATATATATCTGGAATCTTGGAACAGATGAAGGGAAGTGTTGGTTTAATGTTAGGCTGAATAAGTGAGAGACTGACCCTTGGTCAGGCTAGGAAGGAAGTGGAAGAGAGGAGGGGTGACATTTTCTAGAGCAGAATAAACTGGCGATGATGGACCCAAGGCTCCTTTGATTTCCTCAGATGCTGGTACTAGGCCTCTGGGATGGGAGAAGTTCGGCTTTAAAAGTTGATGGCAGACTGATTACATTGTCATATTTGCATCTAATCCTTTTTATTTCCCACTGAAGAGTTACTGTCCCCTCTCTCCCCACCCCATCGTCTTTCCTCATTTCTGAACAGGGATGAAGGGGGTGATAGGCCCCAGAGGACACTGGAACCCTGACGCTTTGAGGAAAGCAATGCCACATAGGTGGGGGAAAGTATGAAAAATCATAGCTAGGATTGAAGGAAGGTAACTAAATCACATAAGTTTGCCTATGATAGATACTATTCAGCTGGAGGCAAAATACATTGTAGGTGGAGATGTTTTTGTGATATACACATCTGCTACCTCGATGTTATATATCACAGAAAACTAAGGTTTTATTCCCTAACATTTCTCATTTATATATTTTTTTAAATCAAAGGGTAGATTAATTGAGAGAAGGTTCCCTTTTATTCCTGTTTTTCACCCTAGGTTCTCTTAGTGTCTTTTAGGGGGCCTAGTAAAGGGAGATGAACATTCTGTTGGGGATTGGGGTGCAATAGATTTTTGTCTTCCTGTGGGCCACTGAACAGCTCTGTGACATTGGGCAGGTCACCTGGACACATCTTTTTGGGCCAAATTACCCTGCAGTTACTCCTGGCCCTGTGAGTCTGCTTCAGTTGGCCATGTGTTGATAACCATTCAAGCTGGGTTGATGAACACATGGAGGCTTATCATAAGATTCTCTGAACTGTTGTAGGTATTTGAGATTTTATATTATAAAATATTTAAATATTTAAATTTAAATTGGTCTAAATTAAGTAAAAAAATTAAACTAAAAAGTAAGCCAAGGAAGTTGAAAAACAAAATTAAATGCCTTAATTAAAATTTTGAAGTGTATCGTCTCTTTAAGTAAGACAGTCATTTCAAATTGACCAAGCCATTTTCCATTTATTATTCATTTAGCGGATTCTTTTTTTGAGGATCTACCCTATGTGAGACAGTCTGTTAGGTACCCTGGGACTGCAGAGCTCTGTAAGATTAGGTTTCTTTTTCTCTGGTCTTCTGGACAATTAGGTAGATGTTGGTAATACCATGGACAGGGATACATGAGGTGGTATGCATCTCAGCATCGGGGAGATTTAGGGATGGTTTCACGCAGGAGTTGGCATGTGAGCTAGGCTTCGAAGGTTGGTGTGTTTAGACACATGGAGATGAGATGAAAAACATTTTGTATTTATAGGTTAACAGAGGTAAAAAAAAAAAAACATACACAGGGACTTTGAGCCATGTGATTAATTCGGGGCAGTCGGTGAAAGGGAATAGAGGGAAAGGAGGCTTCCAAGGTAGGAATGCTATGACTGCCAGCCTGATTCGACATTATTAGCTGATAGGGCAGGTGGCTCTGATCTGGCTGCTGGAGGATTGCATTTGAGGAGGTGAATTGGAAGGGTGTTGGGGCTGGGGAGGCCGTTAGGTGACTTGTGAAAAAAGCAATGAGATACTTAATTAGGGCAGTAGCAGTCTTCATAAACCTTTTCCCTCAACTCCAAAATTTCTAAATGTTTTTTTAAGATAGGAACAACTAATACAATAATTGAGAAAGTGCTTTGTGAACTATAGGATGCTATACAAATAGTTATTTGTTGGAAGCAGACTGTGAAAGGGAAACTTTGTGTGTCATTTGGATTTTGTTATAAGCTTCTAGAAGGCAGGGTTTTTGTTGTTCTTGCTGTTGGGTTTTTTGTTATTGCTGTTTTTCCATGCAGTTGTGTTTTTGTTTTTGTTTTTAATCTTAAATGTATACAAAAAGAAAGTAAGGTTTAGTGTAGCTTTTTAATATTAATATTTTCTTAGTTATGTTCAACACTCAGGCAGAATGTTAGTGAAAATATCCTTAAACAGAGGGGAAAAAATGGGGGCAAGGAAACAAAGGAACTTTGAAGAGTTAATTAGACCAGTAACAGAAATGGTATTAGAATACAGTTTTTGGCTGTATTTTGATTTTTAAAACTGTCTAAAATGCATCTCAAATGGGAATATTTGGTCTTTTCCACTTACTACTTACATTGGAGATATTTTCTGAAGTTATTAACTTGTTAATCAATATATGTCATAGAAAAGAGTAAAAAGGAAAATAAGAACCAAAAGGTGATTAAATTTACAAATGTAAATAGGATATTTTGCATTCTCCAGTCTCTGGGGTTTTCTTAATGCAAAAGTGTCATAATTGTTTTTAAAAGACTAAAATTTTGGGTTATACTATTTTAATGTTAAATATTTTCTAGAAAATGATGTTAATTTTTTAATTAAAAATCATGCAGTGATGGAGTGCTGAGGTAAATTTTAATGGATAGCAAATTTAAACACTAAAATTTCAGGAATTAAATATAGCTTCAGAGTATACTACAACACTCCCATGGGTTGAAGCATGGGGTAGGGTGGGAGCAATAGTTATGCCAGTAGCTAACTTGTAATAAATTACAAGTAAAATTTTAATAATTATACGGTAAAAAATTGGAAGCCATTATTAGCTGGTTTCATCTTGGGAGAAACAGGGACAGTAATAAAAAAAAAAAGTATCAGTTGATTTCCCCTTGTGGAGATACCATTTTTATAGTTCTGTTTAAAAATCTTTTTTTTTTTCCCTGTAGACTGGTTTTAAAAACTTTTTTTTAAAAAAATATGGAATGGACTTTTTGTAACATTAAACCCCTTTAAACGAAGAACATTTATGATTCTTAGTAGAGGTTGTTACAGGAGCCGTTCTAGTTTTTACCAGTAAATGTCTCTTAGCTAGTTACCAGCTGCACAGTGGGAAGCTTGGACCAAATTAGGAGGGAAGAGGGGAAATCACCCTTCTAATGAATCAAGGAAACCACAGCAGTAGCATCAGCCTGCTGTATAATCATTTTTCCGTGTTTCTGCCTTGGCACAGGGAGTTATCTCCAGCAGTGCTAGTCTGAGAGCAGGGAGCATGAAAAGTCAGATGGAAGCTTTTCCTCTGATATACAAATAGGCACTTAAAACCATCTTGTTGAGGAGTTAATTTTTTTAGCCAAAGAATATCTGTAAGCCGCTCATAACCCCGGAGTAGTTTTGGATATGTGGCTGTTTTGTGGCAAACAAACAAATAAATAAATAACGCACACCCCAGATCATATCCACCTGATGGATTTTTGTTATACGAAGATAGATCATTTATTCCAGTGGTCCTGCTATTAAATATTTAAAACATACTTCAGGGTTTCCTTTTGGATTTATCTTCAGAGCCTGTAACACACTCAAAGAACCCCTGCAGTTGTAAATCTCAATTCTTTGAATGGTGAACCTGATTTTTGGGAAGAGCCAAAAGCCATTTAGAGTTAAATGCAGAGGAATAAAATGGGTAGAAGCTGGTTGGTGCCATTTTGGGTTCAGAGTGAGCTATAAATATAAAAATAATGAGACATTTTCTTCTGTGACCCATAAACTGCCTCCAGAGGAAGAATTTAAGAGTGGTTTCAAGCAAGAAAAGTGTTCTGGGCATAAATGACAGTTTTCCAATATGACACTTGGTAGAAAGATGTTGATTTGAATGTTCAACCTCTGGGATGTAAAACAATACGACCAAGACATCCATTGTCTCAGTGTCATGGCACTGTCCCATAGAATTATTGTAAAGAGGAAATGAAACAATGTTTGTAAGCTCTAAGCCCCATGTTTGGAATGCAGTTAGCCTTCAGTAATTGTTATCTGTCTATCATCATCATCACTTAATAATAGTACCTAGAGGTCAGGCGAGCTCTTAAGGAAAATTATAAAGATCCAGAAAGCATTAAAGTCGTAAGATAGCTGGGATTAATTTTATAAATGATAGCATTTCTTTAAAGGTACATTTAGGGTAAATACTGTAATTGGTGCTAATGATGACAACTTTGCTAATGACTAAAACTATTTTCTGAGAGTTAGGATTTGTAAGTGATTAAATTCATCTCTTAACAGAATTTATTCCGAATACTATTCTAAACTGATATAGATGGTATAAGGGTTTTTTGTTTTGTTTTTTATGAATTCGGAAAAGTTCTTATGTTTATCAGCCCTTAAAATGTGGTAGTTTTTCAAGAAAGTATAAGCTTACTGGATTTACAATTTTATGGCCATTTGGGAGTAAAATATATTTAAATATTTTTTGCATATTGAGTGTTTTACTACCTTGTATTTTTTAAAGTGGAAGTTGTTTAACTTAGATTTTTGAGGATTCTATTATGAAAATGACAAATACTTAATGATCTCTGATTTGAAAAGGAGAACTCAAAATCTCGTATGTAGCTAATTTCTCCTGCTCGTTATTGTACATATTTCGTGGCATATAATTTAATGCCTTAATTATAAGAAAAGATAAACATCTCTTTAGTCATATAGCTGTCTTGATTAATTTTTAATAAGTTCTTTTCTCAGCAAAATAGATTCAACTTTAGTTAAACATCTGCAAATTATTCTAGGGTTGCTTCTAGCTATTCCACAGAGAGACAGATGTCACATGATTTGGTTGCTGTTGGCAGGAAAAGTGAGAACTTTCATCCAGTGTTTGAACATCTTGACTCAACTCAGGATATTGAAAACAAACCTACAGGAGAATTTACTCAGGAAATTATAACAATAATCCATCAAGTTAAAGGTTGGTATATTTTACACATACATTAGGGACAACACAAAAGTAACTTGCTGACTTTTCATGAAGATAGGTAAAGATCTGTGATACAATTTACTAGTAATTCGTATTTCATTACAAGTTGCATCATTAACTAGGAAATCGGTTGGAGAGAGTATCTATCAGGCATTCATTCAGAATCTAATTGCTCTTATTGTAGTTCCAATAACCTTGTGCTTCTGCTCATAGTAGATTAGAAATCGCAAGTTAGAAAGGGACTATTGCAAAAGACAGGCATACTGAGAACAGCAAGAAATAATAACTGGTAGCCAAACAGGGAGGAAGGAGCAACAAAAAATAGATATGAATCTCAAGAACTCAAGAAATTTGGACGCTAAGGTCATTTCATGATATTCTTAAAGCCCCTGAGGATATTACTGGGACTCTCCATGCCATAAGGACAATGCTAAGGGATCAATAAAATTAGAGTCCAGTTTGGTTTGGAATACTTTGTTTATGACATCAGGGAATTGCATAATAAATTCTTTAAAGATTTACATTGAATTGCTTTGTTTTTGCTTCTGGCAAATTTCCATTAATGGGAAAATTCAGTCATGTAGAACAGCTTTCCCCAATTGTAGGTATTTAAACTGGAGACCTTCAAGAATTTCACAAATGTTATTATATGTATTTCTTACTAGATAATTGCATTACTCTTTTTTACCTTCATAAAACATTTTTCAAAAAGGAATTGTTTTCTCTGCTTCCCTCAAGCTAAGGCGTATGTTTACTTTAAAGCAGACAGTTTGTCTGAAATAGTTTACCCGGTCAGCTCCAGCCCCTCTCACCCAAAAGAACTGTGATTCTTGGCAAAAAGGGAGCTGGTATTACAAAAAAGTCTGGGAGGTTGTCCCAAAACAGGAACAGTGAATTAGGGAGAAGGATCGCTAATGTAGTATTCTGATGGATCAAGTATATTATTTTTCTTGCTGTCCTTTTAAAAGCCTACAGCATAGCTGACATTGGAATGTTTTCACGAACTTAAAGTAAAATGATATCAGGAGGCCTTCTGTGATATAGAAACATAACATTTAGCATTGGTTCAGAATTGTTTTGTTGTTTCTTTGAGTTAATTTTTACTTTAGGTGAACTCTAGAGGTCTGTACCATCTTTACTTCTCAAATATAATAAGGTTTTACCTTGGAGAAGAAAGGTACTCACTTTGAGAGAGCCACTGTCTCCCCCTCCTATACCCCAGACAAGTAAGCAGGCATGTCAAATAGAAACAGAATCCTTGGATTAATAAAATCACATGTTTTTACTGTTGTATGGGCTTGGGAAAGCACTTGAGCACTACGAATTAGTCTGAAATAAGTTTAGGGCCCAGATACTTTCAAGAGAAAACAGGTTGGATTTTTTTTAATAGTCCATTTTCCTGTGTTTTTATATACTCTTTCAAATGGAATCAGTTTTACATTGAGATAAAACCATTTGTTTCCTTTTTCAGAAAACTGTTTTTCATCACCTGGCATTACTCTACATGAGCGTTTCTCAGAATTGCAAGCTACACAAAATGCAGGTGTAGATGAAATTAAATTGAATTCAGATCCTGAAATTCACAGGTAATGATTTAACTTATGGGAATAAACCTCAGAACAGATTCAGGAAGGTGTTGCCTCTTGAGCTTGCTCGCCTGGGCTTACTGTAAACTCTAGGACTACATTTCCTACTTAAAAACAGGACCAGCCCAAGCAGGTACTGGGCCAGTATGCTTTGATGGCATAGGTTGTTCTGAAGCCACTGACTAACATCGTTTAAATGTATAAGACTATGGAAATATTTACCTACCTTTGATTCTGCTGTGTCTATAGTAGTTGCCTACTGAAGTTATCACCGGAAGAATGAAAAGATAGTTGTCAAGCCATTGAAATCATAGGTTGCTTCATGTGGTCAGAAATGGCTGCTGTTCTGAGGGCAGCTGGATGAAAACATATGGCTTCTTCTCTTGGCACTTGGCCGAGCAGGTGGTGCACCGTTTTGTGAGCTGAGTTGAATCAATGTTAGAATACAGTATGTCACCGGAGCAGAATTTAAAGTTACGCAGACTAGTGATTTGAGAACCACTTAGGAGCACTGGTGGCGCAGTGGTTAAAGTTCTCGACTGCTAACCAATAGGTCGGTGGTTTGAACCCACCAGCCACTCTGCGGGAGTAAGATGTGGCAGTCTGCTTCTGTAAAGATTACAGCCTTGGAATCCCTATGGGGCAGTTCTACTCTGACCTATAGAGTTGCTATGAGTCAGAATTGACTCACCGTTGATGGGCTTATTTTTTTTGTTTGTTTTTTGGTAAAGCTTCGCTGTAATGTTCACAGGATATGTATGTTCTGGGAGACTGCCATATAGATGAAAAATCACCTGATAGCAAATTTCATCTGCTTCCTCCAAGACACACAAACTTTATTTCAAATTCTATTCTATAGTGAATAGAATCAAGGTATTAGTGTATAACATAATTATTTAATTTTAATATGCCTTTATTATTTTAGGAGAATAGATATGTCTTTGGCTGAACTTCAGAGTAAACAAACTGTTGGTTATGAATCAGAACAGGTAAGTAAATACAATTTTGGATGAGAGATTATCTTATTGTTGGTATACGAATAATGGGAAAGGAATTGGTGTTTGATAGTAAAAAAAATAAAAAAGGCGGGGGGGAGTTAAAATAGACGAGAAAAAGGATCGAGACCTAGAAATCTGGAATTTAAAAAGCTCTTCAAGTGATTCTGATTATCAGCTAGGTTGGAGAGAGAATACTGATAAAACAGGAAAAAAACCAACTATATTCCCTAAGAGGAACAATCCCTAAGGAAAAATAGTTTTATAAAATTGACACGAAATTATAGCCTTTAATATTCATTCCAAAACAGTTTACACTGTAGAGGTTGCAAAAAGTATCTTTAGTACCTGTTTTTCCAAAGCAGTCATATGGAATATATTTTTAAATTGTACATGGAATAAATACAAAGGAACTAAATTTCATTCTTTATTGTCCTCCTATTTACTGTAGAATGTAAGAAAGATCCTATGGAATATGAACTAGCAAAACAATGGAAATAATATTAAATTTCTTTATTGTCTTGTGTTGTGCATGGCTCTCACCCAACACCTCTCCTTCCCCCCATTTCTTTGCTAATTAGAAAAACTGTCTTAACTGGTTTTGGGGGCAGGAAGGAGACTGGCTCTTGTTTTAGAAGTGTATCAAGTTCTAGAAGACCTGTTGATTTATTCATTAAGACTAAAGAATTTTTGTAGAGATTTTAATACATGCTGATAGAATATATATATATATATTTTGTGAAATGTTTACAATTTTTATGGAATTTCTAGAGATATGTTGGTTTATTAAGTAAAGGATATTTTCAGAAAACTTTCAATTATCAAATTAGTGTAATCAACTTATAGGATATTTGAGGATTTAAAAAAAATGCCTATAATTCAACCACTTAACACAAAATAATGGTTTGCCATTTTTCCTTGCAGTCTTATATCTTGCATTTTAACATAGTTGCTGTCATAGTATATGCAGTTTTGTATGCTTTTTTTCTTTTTACTTAAGCCATAGTAACATTCCTTTTACATAAAATCTCTGAACTCCCCATGACCTTTTATAATTGAGGTTTTTTTTTAACTTTTAATTAACTTTTTTCAGTGACTATTTTCCCATGTTGTTACATAATCTTTATTACCATAACTTAATTGGTTGTACATTATTCCTTTGAGTTAATTTACCGTAATTTAATCATTCTTTCCTTCCCCTTTAATTTTTTACATTTAAGTTGCATCCATTTTTTTGTTACTTTGAATATATTTGGGATATGTCCCATTTCTTTGGGATAGAGTTCCAGAAGTGGGACTTCTGGTTCAGTGTTATAAACTTTTCTGACTGTGTATCATTAAGTGCATCTCAAAATATGTATATCAGTTTACACTACCATTATCAGGATGAGTACAAGATAACTTATTTAGGACTTTTACTAAGGTTCTTATTAGATGTGATCTTTGTGCAACTAATAGTAATGTGAATGGTTTGTCTTCTGTCAAAATTCCTCAGAGTCTGGTCAAAATAATAGATCCAAATGACCTACGACATGACATTGAAAGAAGGAGAAAAGAACGGTTACAGAAAGAAGATGGGCACGTTTTTCACATAGCTAGTGCTACAGAGAGGTAATCAGTAGACGAAAAACATCCTGTTATCAGGGAGCTTTTGGTTTCAGCATATTTTTCAATTTTTTGGTGTTATGATAATTTTCATTTTAGTGTAGGGATCCTTCAGATTCATTTTATATGTGTAAGTGAACTCTGTTAAAATGTTTCAAAGTTTTCCAGTGACCATCATATTCTGTTTGATTTAAACAAACAACATTATGGGGATAGGTGAGTATTTGAGGTCTTCATAGTTCTAGAGAGGAGTGTAACAGCTTTATTAATATTAGCAGGAGCCAGAACCAGTAAGTTTATGGACTATTTTCTAAATTAATTGAGACTCTGCCCTTTAGATTCTGATACTCTTTGAATCGTACAAAATTTCTTGAGGTCAGTACAGTTATCTTTTGGGACCCTGCTTGGATGCCTATCCATGAAACGCAGGCAGATGGAGTAGATAATGCAGGGGAAACCCGAGTTTGAAACTCACTTCTGCCAGTTTACGAGCTCTTTGATCTTGGGCAAACTTGCTTAGTCTCTGTATTCTCTCCATCTGTAAAATGAGAATAACAATATTTATGATGTGAGGAAGTTATAAATATTAAATGAGCTGGCACATGTGAAGTACTTACACCATGCATCAGTAGATCTTTGTTTTTTCTCTGCCAACATCCTTTCAGGGACTCTGAGTATTCTAGATTGGCCCCAGTTTATCTCTAGTTTTGAAAACTATATGGAATTCATGGCAATTCTGGGACCCCATGTAATTATGAGGTGTAATAGAATGGGACAAAATTTCCAGTTTGTACAGAGCCTCAGACTATTTGTATCTCCCAGAAAATAGGAATATATGAATAGGAAGGGTTAGAGCTACTTGCTTTTCCATAGTCCTTGATGTCAAATGACTAAAATATTTGACTAGATTTTTATGTCAAGTTTATGACTAACTACACTAGGTCTCATTCAGAATACATGGAGCTTGTTTAAAACTGGATCTGATTCTAACAATAAGTTTGAGACTAATTAAAAGACAGCAAAACTGTTAGTTGAGGCATATGAAACAGAATTAAAAATTATATAGTTAACATCTTGTCTCTTGGTAGTTAAAAGTGTTTCAGTTTTTAACGTGATGGTTGATGCATGACATGACTATGCTCTTTAATGGCATGACCTTTCTGTCATGTTTTTCTTGACTAAAAAAGGATAAGAAACTCAGCGTACCAAGAAACAGGATTTTTAAAGACAGATTTAAGAAGGTCAGCATATTATAAAAACTATGTAATGCTTCAGAATATGTCTTCACCCTTTGAGGTGGTTAAGAGCTTCAGCACTGGCATTAGACCTGAGTTCAACTCCTAGCTTTGTAACCCCCTAGCTGTGTGACTGACCTTGGGCAGATTACTTAATTTCTCAGATTCCTCATCTGTAAAACAGGGATAAAAAGTACACTCACCTCATAGCGGTACTTAAGATTAAATAAGGTGATGAATGTAAGGTTGGCATTAAGTATTATTGATGTTAGCTTTGAGGACAGTGTTGTAGGGTGCAAAGATGTCTTCTTGCAAGATGTCTTTTGCTGGACCTGTTGGATTATTTTATTTGTGTTGGATAGGGTGGCATAGTAGAGCCAGGAGCATTTTTTTATTATTAAGATATTAATCACTTACCATAAAATTCACCCTTTGAAAGTGAGCAGTTCGTTGGTTTTTAGTATATTCACAAAGTTGTATAATCATCACCACTGTCTGATTCCAGAACATTTTCATCTCCCCTCAAAGAAGCCCACAACCATTAGCAGGCACTCCTCATCCCTCCACCACCACCCCCAGTCCCTGGCAACCACTAATCTGCTTTCTGTTTATAAATTTTCCTATTCTGGATATTTCATATAAAAGGAATCATAAATTGTGTGGCATTTTATGTCTGGCTTCTTTCACTTAACAATGTTTTAAGCTTCATCCATGTTATAACATGTATCAGGATTTCATTCTTTTTTATGTGTGAATAATATTCCATTGTATGGATATGCCACATTTTGTTTATCCGTTCATCAGTTGGTGGACATTGGGTTGTTTCCTCTTTTTGGCTGTTATGAGTAAGGCTGCTACTGAACATTTGTGTATAAGTTTTTGTGTGGATATATGTATTCATTTTTCTTGGGTATATACCTTGGAGTGGAATTGCTGGGTCAAATGTTAACTCTTATGTTTAACTTTTTGAGGAACTACCAGAGTGTTTTCCAAAGCAGTTGCACCATTTTACATTCCCACCAGCAATGTATAATGGTTTCACTTTCTGTACATCCTCACCAACACTTGTTACTGTCTTTTTGATTATAGCCATCCTAGTGAGTGTGAAGTGGTATCTTACTGTGGTTTTGATTTGCGTTTCCTTGATGGCTGTTGATGTTGGACATCTTTTTATGTGCTCATTGGCAATTTGCACATCTTCTTAGGAGAAATGTCTATTCATATTCTTAGCTAGTTTTTTAGTTGGGTTATTTGTCTTTTTACTGTTGACTTGTCAGAGTTATTTATATATTTTGGATACTACTTCCTTATCGGATACATGATTTGCAAAGAGGATTTTTTTTAAAGGGCCTTGGAGGTCATGATGAAGAGTGTAGCTTTTATCCTGATGCCATTGGGGATCTGTGGGAGGAAATGCAACAGGGCCGAGGTAGCAAGCAGTTCACTACATGGAGCAGGGCCTCCAGAGAGCACAGTAGTATCATGGGGAGATGTGGTATGTGACAGGGAGAGGAAGGGCTATGGAAGTGATGCTTCCAGGATTAGAGGAGAACCTTGAAGTGGGACCTGCCTCCCAGGTAGGGCTGCCCAGGAATGTGGGGGAGGCATGGTGTTGGGACTCTAGCAGGGGAGTTTCTGGGCTAATGTGACAGGAGCCTTTGGTGGCCGCAGGACCTCGTGACACCAGGAGAGGGGAACTTGTTGTTTGCTGCAGGGGTCCAGCAGTGAGGGGACCCTGAGCCAGTCACACACCTTGCCTCCAGTGAATGGGCTGAGTCCTGAGCCATTTGTGTTTTCACTAATAGGAGACTGTCTGCAAGGGGAGTTCAGTGATGTCAAAGGACCTAGAGCAGTGATTCTCTGTCTTTCCCCAGAAAATAGACACAGGTTCAGGGGGATTACAGTCCCGAAGAACCCTTGTCCAAAGAATATTGCTTTTTTTTTTCCCTTACTGTTGCAAATGTCTTTTTTATTTTACAATTTTAAAATGTTGGGGAGAAGAACGAGTTTCCGAGATTAAGCGATTGTCAGCAATACTAGAGTCTGTGGGAGACGCCGAGAGAGAAAAAAATGAACTATCAACCTCTAGAATGCAATCCCTTCTAGAATGCAGTCCTCTCTAGAATGCATCTACGGTGCAATCCCCAGGCTCCATAGCCTGGGAAAACATCTCCCCGTATTACCAACTCCTAGTTCTTTTGGAGGTGCCCTGGTGGCGCAGTCGTTAACTGCTCGGCTGCTAACCGAAAAGTTGGAGATTGGAACCAACCAGCCACTCCGTGGGAGAAAGATGTGGCACTCTGCTTCTGTAAAGATTTACAGACTGGGAAACCCTCTGGGCAGTTCTGCCCTGTCCTATAGGGTCAATATGAGTCGAAATCAACTCTATGGCGATAGTTTTTTTTTTCTCCCATACAAAAATTTATACATACATTGTTATGTGACTCTAATTGCTTTCCCCATAACTCTGACAGCACACTCCTCCTTTCCACCCCTGATTCCCCATGTCCATTCAGCCAGCTCCTAACCCTCTCTGCCTTCCCATCTCACCTCCAGACAGAAGCTGCCCGTTTAGTCTCTTGTATCTACTTGAGCTAAGAGGCACACTCCTCACAAGTATCACTTTATGTCCACAGTCCAGTCCAATCCCT